TATCGTCCTTTGCCAAATCTTTTCCGCCTGCTTTTCCTTCTAATGACAATAGCACAATTTGTTTTAAGTGGTCCTAGTTTGAGAATTTCTGTATACACTAGAAGAAGGAGTATCGAGCTTTGATAGGCAAAAGGCTGTCGTGTTCATGTGATAGTAGTCGTGGTAAATGCCATTTTTCTGAACGCAGCGTTGCGGAGCGCTTTAGAAATACCGTAACATTATCATTATAAAATTACCACAGGAAATCAGAGACAGCCGATGGCGACGAATAACTTTTGACTTTTGACAAAGGTACATATGAAGGCCAATGTTATTTCCCATATTTTTACCAACTGCTACAGAGCTGCGTTTCTTTTAAGTTGCATCTCATTAGCTCTCCTAACTTTTCCAACTCGCCGCTCGGTTTGCAAATAATCTTGACGCAGAAATATCTGCAATAATATTTTATATTAGATTAGATGTTACGAGATCTATTCATGGACAAAGGACTAGAAGTTCCGCATATCAAGAAAGTAGTGTTCTTCTCAGTCAGATGTCAACACTCTATGAAACAAAATAAGTCTTATTGAATCACAAAGAGGAGAACTAGGAAAAGAAGCAAACTGGTTCAAATGTGCTTTCGAATCATTTAAAGAAGATAGTGTTTGCGAGATTCCAGATACTGCACTGACTCTATCTGAGAAAAAGAACAGTATGTCACAAAAAAATCTCAAAAAAATGAGGACCCAAAAACGCGATAGTGGGAAGAAGGAAAAAGATGATGTCCAGGGTCTGCGCGCCTTACCGCCGAACGGCGCTAAGGTGTTGTGCACAGTGCATCTGTCCCATAGAGTGTACGCACGAAATTAAGCGAGAATGTCAACGAGCTAATAAAGAAGAACAATTTTTATTATTTTATGTGAAAGAAATCGATTAGTGCTAATAATTGACAAATATTCTAATATGTCGCCCATCGATCTATATTCCTTTGTTTTTTCTTTTTATCTTCACCAAATACATCAGCATTGATCCCAGCCAACGTCTGAAATTGCAAATATTTTGTTTCGATATGAAAACAACTTCAAATGCTCAAAATCGCAACTAACTTGATAGTTTGGATCATTCGTTGCTACTACTTTATGTTGTGCCGGCTTTTGGACTTTTGGCATACCACCGCCGCCAAGTTTAATCCCACCACCACCGCCTTTATATCCACCACCACCCTGAAAAACTACATTCTTGAACACATTTGCAATTTCTGCATATTGTTAACCTTGGGTTTGAATATGTCTTCATTCTTCAAGCCAGCCAAAGTTTGATAGTTTGGATCCCATGTTGCAGCCTTTCCTCCTACTTTAGGAGCCTTGATATTTGGACTAGCTCCTCCTCCACCACCCTTGAACTTCCCGTCATCCTTAATTTCAAATTTACTTATTTTCTCCCAAGTCTTGGTAGATCTCTTACTTTAGCTTTGAAAACTTCATCATTGTTTAGACCAGCAAGTGTTTGGTAGTTGGGATCCCACGTTGCTGCTTTACCTCCTACTTTGGGTGCTCTAATCATGAAATCGCCGCCACCTCCTCCCACTCCTCCTCCTCCTTTTCCTGTGTCCTAAGATGACCTTT